AATATGGGCAGGCAATCGGGGCCAAAAATTTACTTTTTTTTTTTTTTTTTTTTTTTTAATATTAATGCTTTGGCTTTTGTACGCGTTACCAAGCAGAAAGGGTGGCCTCCTGTACTGCCCACTGACATCACTGGTCTTGTAACACTGCCGCTGTAAAATATCGTTGCTGTAGGAGAGAACTTGGGCATGCCGGAAGATAAACTTCCAGAGTGGTAGAAGGCAACACGCAATGACCTAAGAGATGACCAAATAAAATATGAAATATGCAACAGGAATCTATTTCTGGCGTCGTTTTCTCACTTGGCTGGATTTGTGAATGCAGAACTGGGCACCATCTTTGCAGGAGCGATTTTCCAAAGGCGGCTTTCGAGCCTGCAAGAGGCTCTCACCCTCGCCACCAGAAACGCGGTATTAAGGGACAAGGGTGCCAGGCACTAAGGCCCATTTGCACGAGCAAGAGGCCGTCACGGTTGTGCCCGTTGTGTGGCACTTTTTGACAGACACTCAGGCAAACGTTGGCACCGTTCTCTAACCCAGGGAAATCATTTGCTTGCTTCAGAAGGAAACCTTGGGCTCCAGACTGATGCAGAGCAAATACCATTCCTAGCCATGCGGTTTGTAATTCCTTCCCCACGTGAGCTATAGGGAAACACAGCATGTCCTGATGGAGTCATCCTGCGGGATAACCACAGGAAGCAGGCTGGGAATTGCACAGGGTGTCATAAGCGCTGCCTACCCTGCCCCTTGGGATACCCATGCTTAGGTCAAAGTAGACACGTCCAAGCCAACAGTGTCATCCCCTTCTGTTGCCCCAGGTAGAGAACCATTTCTAGCCTCTTTGCAGTATGGTGTTTCCAAGTTGATTTTTCTGCAGTCTGGGGCTGATGCTGTGGTAGAGGCCAAACAGGCTCCCACTACCCGAAAGCAGCTTCCCCAAACAGCTCCGGCTGCCTTTCAAAGGGGATGATGGTCCTCTGAACAGCTCCAGTAATACAAATCAGCACTTGAGTTTTACTGAAGATTCTATCAAGCATCTACCTAACATAAATGGAAGAAACACAGTAGGATTGTGCAAAATAAAGACCAAACCTTGCTCACCTTAGCAGCTTCATGAAGACCAGAAGGATTTGGTCCACAAGCATCGGATAAGAGGATCAAAACCTGCTACTGACTGTCTTACAGCTGAGAAATGCATTTTTCCACCAACCCACTTGAAGATTTATAATACATTAAGGAACATTAAGAAGAAGAAGAAGAAGCAAAAAAGCTAAATGGGCCAAAAGCAAACAAAAGAAACATGTTCTCTTGAGATTGCTAATGCTGGCAGACAATAGCGCAGAGAGAACTCCTCTGACAGATCTTTGAAGTCTTCAATGCAGTATGCTAGTGGTCCATGCTAATGAGATCTGCTCAAATACTTTCTAAATTATTCCAAAATGTCTTAATCTATTTCCCAAATCTTCTTGACCCATCTGCCTTAGAAAAACCACGGCTTCACCCATCTCTAGGCTAAAACTTTGCATTAAAGCAGGTATGAACTTTAAACAAGTTGTGTTGTCAAAAGACCACAATTATTATTTCATTTTCAGTTTGCTCCAAAACAGGTAGGTAATATTGTAATTTCTATTTTTAAAGATTAGAGAAAGACTCTGCACCTCACATCACCTATCTAATGGAAAGGTCTTAGCAAGTAGTAAATACCCACTTTCTTGGACAATCAGAAAGTAAATAAATGCAGTTTTTGATGGGGACTGACTCCAGACACTCGAGCTAACACCACACCACGAAGCAAGCAGCCGACATCCCATCACAATACAACAGACGTGCCCTGAATCCCCGTCTCCTGCTCAGGGGATGCAAGAACTGATGCTAAGTGTTTCTAGCACGTCAAACCAGAAGCACCACATACTGCATCTTCTGAGACTTCTGGCCTTTTTTTTTTTTTTCTCTGTAATACTGCTTTAAGACCCCTGGGTCAAAAAGAGGAAAAATCAAGGTATCAAAGCAAGTAGAGAAAAAATCACCTTAAAAACCTCCTGAGTCATGAATAGAGCAACCCAGAGATGCAGGAAGGGGGAGATGCATGTGGAGACCAATGAGGAAGCAGCACAGTGACATATTTGACATGGTTTAGAGCTATAACTCTTCCTGAGAAAACAAAGTGGTGTGGCTGTAGAAGAAAAATGATTTTTTTTTTTTGCCTCAGAACCACTTTTTTTCTACATAAACAAACTGAGCAACACATTCTTATATTGCAGTTTTGGGAAAAAAAAAATCCTTCTGACCTTTCTCCTTGGCTTGCATGGAAGGAGAAGAGAAGGAGAAAAGAGAATAAAAAAAGTTCAAGCTCAGACCATGCTCAGACCTACAGGTTCATCTGCTGACCATCTTACTTGTTTTTCAGTTGCAGTAGGCAGGTACTGTTTTGGTTTCAATATTCAATCAACATTTAATTCTGGCAAGCACTAAGATCTGAAATTTTAAACTCAGTGTAACTTTGCTAAATCCTTTTGTGTTGATTTTTTTTTTTCCCTGTGAGGGTTTTCTCAAGTATTCTATCTTTGCTATCTCAAAAGTCTGCATGTGCCTTTTGTTATCAATAATGTACAACTTTAGCAGCATGTTTTGTGTTTTTCAATTTTCCAGCACGCGAGCTATCCCTGATTTACAACGCTCACTGAACACGTTTGATTATTGAAAATGCACTTAAACAAATGACTGCTCCTGGAAAACTAACACTATTGTCCATAATTTCAGTAAAAATACACTTTACAATACTACTCCCCAAATCAGACATTGCAATTCAAATTCCTACTTTGAGCAAAACTGGCATATAATTAGGCATTATGCCTACCAGTGCTAAATAAAGGAGAATGTAAACAGCTTAATTCTGAGGGTTTAACCACCAGAGCCCCTTGCAGTATCTGCTCAGTTATCTGTATCACCGACGAGTTCTTTGGAGCTTACAGAAAAAAAAAAAAAAGAAAAAAAAGAAGCAACAGCCAGAACACGGAGCATAAAAACCTATTTCGTGAGTGCTGCGGCCGCCGGGGCCGCCCCGCCAGGAGCACGGAGACCTGCTCTGTGGCCATGCTGAGCGCCTTGCCCGCTAACTCAGAAGATGGGATTTCACCTGAAATTAAGCTATCAAGCAATTGAGCTCAAACTCAATCAACCAGGCCCTTAACCTTCCCTGTTTCGGTGGCACTGCTCTAATTAGGACTCTGTCACTGTTTCCATTACTATCTCCTCTTCTCCTGGTTTATTATCTCGGCCGTTTCAATTCTTGCCAAGTCGAAATTCGACATCCAGTTTCTTAGACCACGTATCATTCATTACTTTTTTTATTTTATCAAATACATTTTGGAAGGTTGGGAGCTGATCGTGAAGCAAATCACTTTCTGAAGAGAGGAGCACCACTCACTGCAGCAGAAGCAAGGAGGACCCATAACTTCTCACAGTCCTAACGTTAAAGCCTGCATGGAACAACTTTATTCTTCATTAACCTGTGAATTTTGTTGTGCCATTCAGAAACACATGCTGAAACTCGTGTACCACATGTCTATCTAGGACCTAATCCATGGGAAATTTCCTAAGGGCAGTGGCATCTTCTCTGCTCCTCAATGTCTTCCCACCGAGACCGGTTGCTTTCCAGAAAACAGAGGTTATCTAAACCCTATTGAACAACCCTGTCTAGGGGTCCTGGATGGGGCTTAGTGACCTACAACATCTAGGCAGCTGGTCCAAATGATCTAATGGTCCTTGCCAGGGACACAGGCAAGCCAGCTTGTTCGGCTTGTCCGCTGTTGAGCTATGCACACTAGTGGGTTTGCTCTACCACAAAACTGAAGCTATTTTTACTATTCACAAACTTGAAACTATAATATTCCTTATTTCCATGAGTTATAAGCATCATGTCCCCCCACTGATCCACAGCTCCATGAGTATCTCATAAATGTTGAGGTAGTCTGATGCATCTGGGACTTAAAGATTTCTCCTTATTCCACAAAAACAAAAAAGACAAAAGGAGAAACAACACTACACAGCATCTTCTTAAGCAGCAAACCCTCCCAAGCAGGACCTGCCCCAGCTTCAATACCCAAACTGCATCTACTACTTCTTGGCTCCACCATAAGAAAATAGCAATACTCAGATGTTGGAGAGAAGCACGTATCACCCTGCTGACATAAACCATGAGCATGGCCAAGGACTGCAATAGTCACTTGAACTTCATGAATTGTGTGATCCCTATGTAGATATTTCCGGCAACAAAGAACTGAAAAAAAAATCATCATTATATCTATTTTAATTTAAAACTGAAGAGAACGTGGACATTTCCCTCCCCTCCCTTAGGAGCACATTTTAACACAATTACAAACAAAAATCGCTCCCCTTTCCTCAAGATGCATGCAGTCACTCTGTAAAATCTGAAGTTGGAAATGAAATCACCATTTTCTATTCAAACGAGGTCAAGGGAACAGTGCTAACGAGCACTGACATCACGGCGAGCAGCAGCCACTGCCGAGCGCTTACATCAGTGGTGCTTGTTGCTATGGTGCTTAACCGACTATTAATTTCTGAAAGAAGGTGATTATAAAGCAGCCAGATGAACCTCAGTCAGATGACACCCTTCAGCACCAACCACCCCTACTCGAGAGCTGCTTTTCTGAATCACCACTTTTGTGATGCTAATGCCCCTTTGCCTGCTAGCAACTTTGGGCCCGTTGGAGGTAAGGAGTTGGCTGGGAAGGACGGGACCAATCCATCTTTATAGAGTGTTGCTGCTTCTTCCCTTGCTGCTACATTTGGAAAGGACTAAGCATGCAATGGTGTGGTCTCCACTGTGATAATGGCCAACTTGGCTTCTTCTCCCTTGGGCTGCTCCTCAACCAGGAGGAGCCCGGTCCGGGTATCACCGCCGTGCGGGTGGTGACCGTGCAAGGTGGCATCTACGCCACGCCTGCAGGAGCGGAGGTGTGCAAGGCCGTGCAGGTATTTACCTTCCTCGGGTGCTCCCGTGAAGCGATCTTCAGTCACAGCCACCCAGAGAGGTCACTCTTCTTACCCTGCGGGGAGAGAGCAGGACACACGTGACTGCCGGGTCGAGGTTAGCAACGGCCGGGCCGCTTTCATGGGCACCGCGTCCGCGAGGACAAACAGAAATGAAGCGACACGCGCGGCCCTGATCGCGGCTGCCGAGGAGCGACCGGCCCGGCGAGTTCATAGAAGCCATCGAGTCACGGGACTGGTGCTTATCAGCACCAGCCCGCGCGGGGTCCGGGCCCTGGCAAGAGCTGCTCGGGCTCGGGGAAGGAAAAAGAGAGAAAAAAATAAAGAAAGAAAAACCATGGAGATGAGACATCTTTGTTCTCCAGCATAAACTTTCTTAATCTTGATGCCTATCAATCTATTTTCGGTTTGAATAATAGATGAGTTGAGCCCTTTGTTTCAGAGCTCCTGCTGTTGTCTGCCTGGGTTCGCCTTCTTTAAGGCGTTTTGAGGCCACTCGTAACCACCACTACTTGAGCCTAGGGATCTATGCTTTCTTCTTTTTCATCCCTTTCCACAGACACCCGGTCCTAGAAGAGATTTCACCACCAGCTGCATCTTTCGAGCCACATTCCCCAAGTTGTTTACTGTCTTGGGGTATCTTCTTGCTAAGAAGATGAGCCACAGTAGTGAATACAGCGACTCTTGGGGGGAAAATAATTAAAGTGCATCTTTACCAAAAGTAGGAGGGAGAAAACAGCACGTGTGGGTTTTTTTTTTTTTTTTTTTACCTTGTATATTACTGCATCTTGTGTACTCTCTCTTATGCAAAAGAGTATGTAATCTTCTAAGAAACATGACAATCTGCCACTTTCTGTTCATGTAATTGGGATCAACATATGGTACAAGAGAAAAGAAAAACATTTGTTTATTAATTTAGATCGAGTTACTAACTCGAACCACTAACAGCACTCGGAATTAATTCCACGTCAATTGACCAAATAGCTTAATAGAGTGAAATTATAACCCAATTTCACCGAAATGTTGATCTGCTGCTGCAGGGGGGGCAGAACAGTAATGCAAGGAAGACAGAAAGAAATATGCAATAGTTTGCTGACACAGATGACATCATATGAAACGGAAACTCGGGGACATGTCGAGGTGCAAGAGCGAGCGCCGTGAAACTCCATTTCGTAAAATTCACACAGCGATGCGAAGTTTTGGGGGTGTTTGTGAAACTCATCAACTGAGAAGTTACGCTATTTACATAAATAGCTGCAGCTTTTTTTTTTTTTTTTTTAATCTAAGTAGTAAAATATCAACCTCTGGGAAAAAATTCGACTCATCATTAAATTCTTTCTAAAAGAAAATGTATGCACCTGCCATTTCGTTTGGAAGGAAAAAGGTTTTCACCCTAAGAATGAGGCATTACCTCTCCACCATTGAAAGTACCAATTTTCAGCCATGAAAAAGGTCATCTTGAGATGAAATTAATGTTGTTTTCATCTGCTGCTAACTAGAATCAACATGACTATTATCATCTTTATTATTATCCTTATTGTTACTTTCTATGTATTTTGAGTGAACCTTTTTCACAATTCTCACAACGAAATCCTGGAGATTGGGGGCCGAAATGGGTCAGGGTTTGCTGCCTTGGCAGCCCCAGCAGCTTCTCCGGGGTTCCTGTGCAAGTCACTCCTGATCCTGCGTTGGAAAGGACATAACTGTACTCTGTCATCATAGGTCAGGTCTCACCTTCCTGCGCGTATGTAAAACAATACATCTTTTATGTAAAATGCATGACCTCTGCCATACGATGTGCTCTTAGATTAGCTGCAATAAAGGCTCCTCTCCTGCTTGGCTGCAGGGGTTATCTGGGGTTTGACACTTCAAAACTCTTCTCGTATTATATCTGTTTTATAAATTTTCTGTATATTTGGCAGGCAGATCTTTATTTTGGCAGTATTTTGCAAGCAGGCTTCACTTCTACCCAGAGTCTTCCTGATAGCAAGTGAACCATCTTAAAATGCACTTCTTAAGGAAACTTAAAATGTATGTGCATAAAATGTGCATAAAATAAACCTTTCAGAAGTGCCTAAAAACACAGGTAACACTTTTCTAAACACTCTTGTCACACATGAAATAAATATGTGACAAGGAAACCCAGGAACACTCGCCTGACATCGGCCCAAGGGAGGTAACCACGGTCCACTGAGTGCAAGACAAGATGTGGGCTCCAGAGGACTCCTCTGCTTCTCACAAGCTGGAGAGCCCGAGATCCGGGCTGCTTCCATTGCTGGTTATCTAAGTTATGTGCTACCTGATGTCCCCAAATTTGCTTAAAATGAGCAGCAGAGACAGCTGTTCACACCTGTGAAAAGTTCCTGTTAAGAGCCTAGAAGTTGAGTATCTCAACATGCAGAAACACAAATACAGACTTTCCCCCTCAAAATGTTTATATGGGCGAGTGAATTGATGTAGGCAACACACATTCCTTCCATCATGCTGTCTTTAAGATAAACACCAAGTACCATCAACACTGTAAGTGCGTGCGTGGAGCAAACAAAGAAAAAATCCCATCTGACCAAAGCAAGACACTTCACTAGACTCATATTTTCCCTCAAGGAGAGGAATCAAATAGAAAACCAAACCACACACAAAAATCCACTTTGTGAACAGTGGTGGCCCTACAGACTTGGGAGCCAAAGGGAAATTCTCCCGATCCAGTGCCGGGGATGGAGTCCCACCAGCAAAACTGGAGCTCTACACAGGGAAAAGGCCTCACGGAACTACTTGACCTGTTCAGATTTCACCAGACCTTGCCCAACATATTGGCTTTACTCCCCAGAAGCAAAATGGGAATTTGTTTACCCAGCAGCAAAACGGGAAAATGATTTTTTTGCATTTTGAAAGTCTTAGATGCAAAGACACTTCTGTTATCACCATGATTTTTGAAATGACAACTGCTAATAATGCAAAAAAGTTCATAATCTGACCCCAGGTCATGAGCTTTTTGGTTAATTCTGCTTTGCATGAGGTCCTAGCAACTCTCCTTGGTACCTCAGTACCAGATAAGAGGCTCTTCCCCATCCTCCCTGCTCTCGGGTCAGGCCATCGAACACTTAGATCCCACAACCCATCCTCAATTTAGTAGCCTCCTCCTTCACTACCGATTTGTATCAGGGAGGTAATTTCAGGAAAGCTAATTCTGAGCGATCACTGCAAAGCTAAATTTAAGCAATAACATAAAGAATACACAGAAATAGACACCGTTGCAGCAGAAAGTTTTACTGAGAAGAGCAGCATTTCTACTAATACCTCAGCAAGAATAGCCTCGTGGAGAGCCCAGAATAGACGAACAAAAGACCTTGATCCCACACAAACGGGCTGTGAGTAATTTTGTACAGGGAAGTAGAACATCGGTTGAACTGCTCCCCTGCTCAGAATTATTACATAATTTTTGACAGTGTCCCAGGCTCAAGAAGGCTACAGATTATTACTGGAAACCTAAACCAGCGAGGGAATCTCCAGTTCATTACTTAGAAAGCACTCTTTTTTGAAAAGCACTGCAAAATGTTGCTTCTGAAATTCAATGTCCATTTTTCTCCTATAAGGCCTAATTTCTTAGTTGAAATATATTTATTGAGCCTATTTGAAATACTTACTAACAGATTTCCTGAGGCTTTAAAATATCAGAACATGTAATCAAAATAAGCACTTTTGTGCAATATTCTTTTTCCCCAAATAAAGGAAACCATAACGACTGAATATAGCTATTTCTTTCCTTTTAAAACTCCTTAAGTTACACTCAACCAGACACAGGCTGAAATATGCCCTTCTATTGCCATTATTACTCTTTTGTTGTCCCATGAGGGGACAGACGCATTCAGTGATTTTACCAGCTGCAAATCAGTAAGCAAAGAAAAATTATTTGGTATTTTGCTAATCCTGAAAACACAGGGTGGACCACGACATGGTCCAGGCCGGTCTCTTCTACATGAGCCGTCTCGATCCAAATTACCTGCGTAAACACCCGCAAATCCTCAGGCAGACAGTCACTTTGCGGGGGCACTGAGGTAGCCTTTTCAATTCTTTTACATAAGGGCCATCCAGCAACCCAATAAAAATACATTAAAAATCTTTTTTTGGGGCTCATACCACCTCCTTGGAAGGCCAAACGCAGGCGAATGGTGAAGGTGCCCTGAGACAGGCGGTCTCAAATGCAAGACTGCAACCAAACGCATCCCCAAATGCATCCCCATTTGGATGCATGCAACCAAATGCAACCGTTTGATGCAGGCCAAGCGAGCGGGATGCGCACGCTCCCGGCGCAGGCAGGAGCAAAGCGGGCTCCGTGTCCACTCGCAGCCTGCTCGGAGCTTTCAATTTATTCCAAAGAGATATAAAACACAAGTGAACGACAGCGCGAGGACGCAGCCATGCACAGCAACCTTTCGTCCTCTCCAAAACCAAACCCCTGTAACCTTGGGAAAGGATCTCTTGATCCGAGCCAGCGCCACCAAGCTGATCACATGCCGTCCCTCCCTCCCTCCCCTTTCCCAAGCTCTGATAGGAAGCACGGACACGGTTAACAGGAGCGAGGAAGGGCTCGCTCGCCGTGCAGGGTTTGAGCGGCAGCTCGGGGCCCTGCATCTCTTCTCAGTGGACTGGCGCCCTGCCTCGCACGAGCCGAGCAGGACGTGTGACACGAGTCCCCAGTCGGAGCCGCCAGCGGGGACACGTCCACGCGGCCACCTCGTCCCGGGAAACCTCTCCTAGCCCTTCCGAACGTGCCTTCGCGCCGGCCCTTGCGCGCGCGGTGCCTGCGCTGCCGTCCCCCACGCTGCTCCCCGCGGCCAAGCAGCCGTGGGGTGCAGGGCTTGCACGCCTGCAGAGCCCCCCAAAAATAAACAATAGAAAAAGCAAAATGTTACTTTTCAAAGCTCAAGTAAATATTCATCCTGGTCTATTTTTCCAAGTGGCATCCCTAGGAAATGCTGCTGGTTCTCCTGCCTACTGCAAAGGCACCTTTCCTGCTGCTACTGCTCGGCTTCACCTGCTCCGCGTCGAGCCCCAC